TTCAGGGCTGTACGCGAAGGCCAAGCACCTGCCAGAGCATGCATGAGAACCTGCAGGAGAACCACTCAAACACTTGGAAACAGCAGGGAAACTAAACCACAAAAGCCTTCTCGTTACCGAAATAAAATCCAAGTCAGAGGTTTCCCCTTTCAACAAGAAAAGCAGCCCCACCAGTAACAGGCCAGAGCTGGCGAGCCAGCGGCTGGTGGACGGCACCCATCCTGCTCTTGCTCTGGGGGGGCTCCTCGCACCATGCTCCTGACGCCCATGAACCAAGGGATGAGAGCCTCTGGCCCTGGGAAACATGCCAGCGCATCTTCTCGGTGGAAGACCTTTTAAGCCTGAGTTGATTTCAAGCTTCAAAAACACTGTTTAGTTAAATTACATAAGTCAGGAAACCATGGTTGGTCTGAAAGATCAGGGCCAGTCATTTTTTTCTATTATTATTATTTTAAATAATGAGGTTTTATAAATCAAAGAAGATAATCCTGCATGAAGCTTTTACTCTTTCTCTTGAATTTGCAAAATGTGAAACTTCAAGAGAAACAACCATGAACCAGACAGGTAGTGCTCCAAGGGCTTTACATATATTAATTCATTTAACTGCCCTAACTGCCCGGGAGGTTAGTTGCTGCCATTACCATCCCCATTGACCAGATGGAGCAACCGAAGCACAGAAAGGCCGAGCGCCTTGCCCGGGATCACACAGCAAGGAAGTGGCACGACCAGGGGCCTAACTCCAAGTCTGACTTGGGAATCATGAGACTCTCTAGGACGAGAAATGGGCCCTCAAGAGGTGGGGGAGCCAGTCCTTTTATTCCTGGCCATTTATTCGTGGCCCTCTGTCTCAGAGCAGGTGTATATAAAGTGACTTCTGAAAGCTCTCCCTGAACTTTTGACACAGCTCAAGGACTTCTCTGTGGTTCTGTCCTCTAGTTTTTTTCTGTCAAGCGAGTCACTCACTGGGCATGTGCTAGGACTCTGGGCAGAGCACAGAGCACCCAGGACACAGAGTGACCAGGATAGCCAAGGCCAGATGGGGAGACAGTGGCCAGGGAGTGATGCCAGTGACAGATGACTAAGGCGGTGGTCACCACACTGTGACCCTTCTACAGCAGATCTCATCTTGGGCAGGCAAAGAAGACCAACAGCCTCACGGAGCTGACACGTGTGACCTGAGGGATGAGGAGGGGCCAGCCCTGCTGAGAGCAGGAGGGGCAAGGGGGAAAGGCCAGGGGCTCCCAGAACTGAGGGAAGGCGTGGCTGTCTGGGGTTAGGCCCAAAGCTGGAAACAGGTTTTCTGGGGCCTGAAGTTTCCAGCCTCTGGGGGAGCCTCTTTAGGAAAATGCCAAAATCACGAATGCAGAATTGATCCAGTCTCTGCCTGGGCCTTGAAAGAAACGCTGAAGGTTACGGCCTCATCGGCTCATGGAAGATGTATCCTGGCCAGAACTGAGTATTCCTGGGTTGCCAAATGCTTATGAATTAACACCCTAGACAAACAATCGTAAACATACACACAGACACACACTGAGCAGAGCATCTGTGTTCTGAACAGACGAGTAAAAGAATGTCCATTACCAGTTCTACCAATAATAGCCACCCTCCCTGAGGGCCAACCAAGGCCGACTCTTACCCTGAGCCAAGCGCTATACTAGTGGCCCATTTAAACTTCACTGCCACCCAATGCAAGAGGTAGTACTGTTATCCCCTTGGTAGAGAGGAGCAAAATCAGGCTCCGAGTGGTTAAGCAACTCCCCCAAGGTCACACAACAGGAAGCAGACTTGATTCCAGCTATGGCTGGCTTGAAGTGGGCCCTGAACTGAGAGCCTAACGGGTACCTAAGACAGTGCTGACTACTCAGACAGACTCTCCTCCGGACCCTGGGGCTCGAATTCTGGAAGGACACAGACACCAAAGTGAGTGATCAGAAAATCGCCCTGTGGATTACAAAGTGCTAAGAGTATGGGAGAAATTACAGCAAGGGAGGGCACAGGGATGACAGGGGCTGCAATTTTAGGTCAGTGTCCAGGGAAGGCCTCACAGAGAAGGTAACATCTGAGCAAAGACTGGAAGGAGGTGAAAAAGCCATGCCGGGAACAGAGTGGGTGAGACCCGGCACTCACCCCGAGGGGCTGTCATTCTGGGTGTGGGGGTGACACCTGGGTGAGCAGAGGATCCCAATCCAGTGTGTGAGCAGAGCTGAGAGAGGTAAGCCCAGGGGGCTGCAGGAGTGTCCAAGGACACATCAAGAAGCCCGAGAGGGTTGGGGTAGAGGGGCTCCCTGGAGGAGGTGATACCAGAGAATCACTAAACTTTTGATACAATTGACAGATCAGAGTGAGGCAGGACAAGGGAGGTACAAGGAGCAGAGATGGAGGGAAGGGTGCCCAGGCAGAAGGCACAGCGAAGGGCAAAGGTCCAAGGCAAAAAGGGGCCAGGTCTGTCAGGAAAGACCAGGTGAGGGAGCCATGGAAGCACAAAGGGTAAGCGTGGGACACGGCACTGTGGATAGCAGAGGAGGGGCCACGGCCAGACCATGAAGGGTCTCGAACACCAGGCTGAAGGGCTGTGACTTTGTCCTTAGGGTGCTGGGGAGCTTCAGGGCAACTCGGGGGTGGGGGAGAAAGAGCCCTGAAGCTGAGAGAGGATGGACCAAAGGAACCACTGAGAACCAGGGAGGAGACCCTGTGTGGGGCCAGCTGGGAGGAAGAGAAGCCTGAAATGCTGGGCCCATGAGGATGGAGAAGGGGACCAGCTGTCAAGTAACAGGTGGCGGGGTTGGTAAGGGAGGGAGGGCAATGGTGCTGGGGCTCTGGCCCGATGATCAGGTAGTTGGCAATGTTTATTTATTTCTTCCGAAAGGGCACCTACACACACAGCCAACAGACAGGATGCAGTGTTGGCAGCCCCTGGGCAGCACACACCCCTGGGATAGGATAGTGGCTGATACCTTCTCTTTGTTCTCTCATTCAGCACACACCTGTGTGCCAGGCCCTGTGCTGGGTAGGCTGGGACCCAAAGCTGGTCATTTTCGGGTCTGCCGGTGGGGAAGACAGATACGACACAGGCACCTCAAGCCATGGAGACCAGGGCTGGGGCACAGGGAGGCCCAGAGAGCAAAAGAACCCAAAGCAACAGCTAGAAGTAGGAAGAAACCAGGAGAGAACGTCCCAGGACCCCCAAGAGCAGCTGAAGACAACACCCCTGCCCCTTGCTGTCAGGGTTTTGCTGCAGCCCTGACAGTGAAAGAGGAGGGACGCCTGGGTGGTTGTCAGCTAAGCTTAAACTCAGGTCATGATCTCAGGATCCTGGGATCAGGCTCTCTGCTCAGTGAGGAGTCTGCTTCTCCCTCTCCCTTTGCCCTCCCGCTCTTGTGCGCTTGCTCACTCTCTCTCTCAAATAAACAAATAAAATCTTAAAAAAAAAAAAAAAAAAAACTTCGATCCTGACGGTAGCTGCCTGGAGTGGGGTGATCCCGCAAGCAACAGGACCTCCGAGGGCCTCACTCTCCTCACCCACCCAACCGGCTTCATAATATCAAGCAAGAGGATACTGAAAAGTACTGAATGAGTCAGTGTCCGTCAAGGACTTGGAGTGCTGCCCTTCGCACAGTAAGCACTCACTAAACGTGAGCAGTTAACGATCACTCAAGTTTCCCTGCCAAGTCCGGCTCCCAGGCCCTCCTCCCCACCTCACTCCCCAAGTGGGCAGGGATCCTGGTTTCATACACCAGGAGGCCTCTGGCATGCCAGGCCCGTGCTGCACAATGCTGGGGACATACAGGTGTAATCCCAGTTTGATGGGGGGACAGACGGGGATGCGCAGTCACCATCTACAGTAGATGGGCAGACCATCTACAGTCTGCTTTAAGCCAAGTATTTCGAGAAACTGGCCGGAGAGGCTGTGTCTGATTCACCTCTGTCCCCACCAGCTACTCTCGGGGTCAAGCCAGGACCCCAAAGACGCTGCCCCCCACTCCCGCCAAGCCCTCTCATGGGAATAGGAGCCATTCCACCAGCTCAAACAGAATTTCATCTCCAGCAAACATTTCTCCCTCCCTTCCTGGCTAGAGCCTCCTCGCTCACCCCGCGGCTCTGTAGGGTGAAGGCTTCTGGGCTCCCAAGCTAAGGCAACTGAGTGGGCAGTGCAGCCTAACAGGTGAAGTGTGGCTTGTGTGCAAAGCACTAGTCGCGCTGAGGAGACAGACGGACCTGGAAGGGAATTTCGGCTCTACCCCATCCTAGCGGAGTGACCTCTCCGCGCCTCGGTTTCTCCAAATGTTACACAGGGGCCGCGGCACCTCCAGCGGGTAAGAAACAGAGAAAGTAACTCGTACTGCACACAATTATTAAGACAGTGAGTCCAAAACCTTGAGAAAAGGGAGCGGGGTCATGACCCCAAAGGGGCTGGGTCTGAAGTCTGAACCTCACGGTCCTTGATCTTTGCCCTCAGGTGTGACTTTGACTTTTAAGAGGAAGAGCGGCAGAGATCAGACGTACGAGAAGACCCCCCATACAGTTTCGGGATTCCCGGGAGGTGCAAGGAGGGGCCCGGTCACCTTCACGGCGAAGTCGATGACCCTCTTTACAGCCACGAGCGCGCGCAGCTCCGCCATCTTCCTGCGGCTCCCACCTGCGGGGTCAGTAGGCTCACTGCGCCTCTGGAGCTGGACGTCCCGGCCCCCTCTCCCGCTCCCCTCTTTGCGCCTGCGCCCCGCGCCGCCGGCCAATCAACCGCGACAATGCCCGCCTCCGCCCTGACAAAGGACCAATCGGGAGCCCTGAGAGGAGGGCGGTGTGGCAAGAGGATTCGGACCAATGGAGAACAGATTCCGGAGAAAGAGGCGGGACCTGACGGAAGGGGAAAAGGACTTAGTGAAGGGGACGTGGCCGGGAACTAGGGGAAAGGTCTTGCGCGTAGGGAGGTGCTCCTGCCGCGCAGCTCCTCGCGAGCCTCCTAAACCTTTCCCAACGCCCTCGGATTTACACCTCCCCCAGTTCCCCACTGTTTCCTCGCCTGTTTAAGTCGCTGCGCTCGCATCCCCTGCGCCCTCTTGTGTCTGTCTCCCCATCTTCTTCTTGCCTTGTTCCTGGTCCCAGGACCATGCCTCTTCCGTCCCCCTATATCCGTTTTTCCGCGTCCATGTCCCTACATCCCTTCCGAGCACCCATGTGCTCTCCTGACCCCACCACTCCTGTGCCCCCTTACCCCTCCGAGCCCATGCGCCTTGTCCACTCCACCCAGGTTCGTGTCCCCATGTTCCTCGTTCCCTATAGGTTCATGTGCTTATGTCCTTCCTGAACCCCCAGGTGTCCCCGTGTCCCAGTCCCCCGTCCTCTTCATATCCACATTGCTCCCGCGTGCGTTCCTGTCCCCCGTGTCCTCACGGCCCCCAGAAAGGCACGCGCAGCCGCGGCGGTGAAAGCCGTTCCTTTATTCTGCCCCAGGCAGGCCGCGGTCACAAGCACACGGGGAATCCACTGAGGGCATCCGTGCTCTGCACGACCCTGTCCGCCAGCAGAAAGCAGAAGCCCGGCGGGAGGGGAGCGGAGGGCAGAAGACTGGGGGACGGTTTGTCCTGGGGCAGATGGCCGGGAGCGCCCCGGGGACTGGGGCTTGGATCCCCAAGGGTGCTCCTGCCGGGTCTGCGGGAGTCGGGAGCGGAGTTTGGTGAGGAGTCCCTGGGAGGGCGGCTGGGAGTCTGCGGGGAGGGGGGGCCCTCCGGGCAGTCTCCTCCACCCTCTTCCCGCTGTCCAGGTTAACCGCAAGAATAGAGAAGGGTAAAGCCAGCCACCCCGAAAAACAGGACCACAAGAAGAAGACGTCGTTCTTCCACGCGTTCTTTACTGTGTAGCCTGTCAAAGCGATCAGCAGCAGCAGGCCTGGGCTCCGCACCAGGGGAGCTCGGCCGGGGCGGGGAGGTGAGGGGCGCACCCAGGCCCCACCCAGAGTACGCCCATCCAGGGCCACGCCCCCTTCCCTCAGCCACGCTCCCCTCCTCTGGGTCTTTGGCCCCCGTCCGCACTCGCATCCCCGCGACCCCTGGGCCCCTGTCCCCTGCAAACCCCAGGCCCACCCTATGACTGTGGGCCCGCTGCCGTCTCACCGTAGAGGAAGAAGATGCCGCTCGTAGTCTGGCCCCGCGAGTCGCCCTCGTGGCACAGGATCCTCAGCCCCATCACCAAACACACGATGCCGCCAGCACCATGCACGCACCCGTCACCGCCAGCATGGCTGGGGAGAGGGGCCGCCTCAGCCCCGCGCTGGCGCCTCCCCGGGCCAACGCCCCGACCCGCCGGTAAGGGGCTGGGAGCAGAGCTCTCGGTTTGGATGGGGACTTGGAAGTTACTTCATGAGGGAAGTGGGTACCGAGTTGGGGGATGGTGGTAGTCTCTGTCGCAGAGGAGCAGATGGGCCTGAGACAGGAGTGGAAGGGGTAAGGGTTTGGCGCCGCAGGATGTGTCCTGCTGTTGTGCCATCTGTGGTCTGTGCTGGGGGCTGTCTGTCCAGTAGGGGACATCTGGGCGGGTCGGACCTCACTCTGGCAGGGGATGTTGGAGCGGGTGCCACCATTACACTCCTGACACAAGCCACTGTGGCCCCCGGGGTAGCGGATCCAGTAGTTGGTGGTAGTGGAGAAAATCGTGAGGATTTTGGCCAAGAAGCCCAGCAAGGTGCCCCCGCTCTGGAGGCTCCGCTTCACCCCCATATGCCGGCGTGGCTGCTGCCGAGGGCCACACACGCAAGATTGGCCGACACTCCTCCCGTCCCCAGACCCCTCTCCCGGGTCCTTCAAGTCCTTGAGATGCCCTCCCACATGTCCCTCCATGTGTGATTGCACCCCAGCACCGCTGTCCGGGGATGCCTCCTTCCGGCCATTCCCGAGACCTTCATGGCCTACTGCTCCTACTGGGGGCCTTGAGACCTTACCCCCAAGGAATCATTGCCTAGAGACCTCCCTGTCTTTGGAAGATCTCCATGCCCCCAGGAATGTCCCTATAGTCTGTCCAGTGCCCTCCCCCCACCCCCCGCCCTGCCATGCACACACCCACCTAAGTGACTCACACTCAGCTCCCAGGGCTTCTTAGACACAGAGTCCAGAGGGTGGGGGAAGGGAGACCACGTCTCTGTGACACAGGAGGAGTTCTAAAATCCCCTCTCCCATCAGTCATTTAAAGAGATAAACCTCCCCCAACACACACACACACACACACACACACACACACACACACACACCCTAAGCAACTCTACTAGCAGAGAGACCGCTCAGAGTCAGAGTCTGGGGAGAGCCAAAAGGCCATGGCATAACAGACCATAGCCTTGTGAAAACTCTTCCCTTAATTCCATAAGCTCTGCAGGTCCCCATCTCTGTGACTGTGCCCTCTTAGGTTCCCATTCAAGCTCCCGCTCCTCTTCCTCCCTCCACTTCGTGCCTGTTGGCCTGGAGCCTCCATCCTGCCCCTTCTCACCAGAGGAGCAACCTCACTGGGTCTCTGTCCCAGACCCCCGACAACCACATCCCAAATGAGCTCAGCATCTTCCACCTAACCAGGGCTGACTCCGCCATCCCACCCAGTTGGTTGTGCCAGACCCCTGGGCACTGTCCTTGCCCCCTCTGACCCATCAATCCACGAAGCCCCCGAATCCCTGTGTCTGGTTCCTTCTGCCCCCCTGCATCTGGCTCCTTCCATCTTTCCCATCTCACGCCCTGGTCCCAGTCGCACCCATTGGTTGCCAAGCTCCTCTCTCCCTTTGGGCCTCCCTCCATGCCCCAGAGGAATCTTGGCACCTGGAACTGGCGTTGACCCTCCCCAGCTCACAACCTTCTCCTAGCTTCCCCCTGGCCTCAGGAGGGAGTCACTGTGACCGTTGGGGCTATTGCTCCCACCTCCTTCTCCATCCCCTGAAAACTTCGAGCCTTTCCACACCTCCCCCTTTGCGTCCCTCTGTCTGGATGATCTTTCCTTGGCCCTCGAGAAGCCCCTGAACACCCTTCCCCCAGAAAGCTCCCCTCCACCCCACCCAACAGAGTCAGTCTTTCTCCCCACCATCCTGGGCTCTGCCTGCTGTCTCGCTTCCCCCACTGGACTTGCAGTCCCCCAGTGGCCAGGGCCTGGGGCAGCCTCTCATCAGCATCCCCAGTGAGACCAAGGATAAAGGATGAGCTCAGGAAAAGCCAGCTGAAGGAGTAAATGAATTAATGAAGGAAGCAAGAAGGGCCAGAGTGAAGACAAGGGTGACAAAATCAGAGAGGGAGTGAGAAGGAAAAAGCACTAGAGTGGGAAGACAAAGGAGAAAAGAGAAAAGACAGGGTCTCAAGGTAGAAACAGGGAGAAAGACAAGGACCAGAGAAGGGAGCCGACATGGGGCTGCGCCTGAGTCCACACCAGCCCCGGCTCCATGCCCATCTGTGCCCATCCGTGCGTGGGGGCTGCCTGAGGGCACACAGGGGTTCTGACTCCTTCCTGGGCTCCTGGGGTCACCCACCAGGGAGCTGCCCTACCCTCAGCTTATGTCTTGGCTGAATTAATCTCAGAATAACCAGGTCTCAGCAACTTGTTGTTGAATGGATGAAGAAACAAACAGCGGGGTTGCGGGAGGGCTGGGGTAGGGGCTAGGAGGAGGGCTGTGGGTGCCTGCGGCTCCTGACGAGGTCTTCCCCGAACAATGCTTCATCCTGCCCGGCTCACCTCTGGCTTACAAGGTCTCATAGCCAGACTGGGGGCCACTACAGTGAGCACCCAGACTCAGGCTGCCTGCGGCGGGAAGCAAAGAGAGGTTAACATTAGCCCCCGCCCCGCTCTCTCAAAGCCCCCAGCAGGCCTCTCCAGGTCCCGGAGCGGTAGTCACCTGTACAGAGACAGAGGACAGCTGAAACCCAGCCCAGGTAGAACGACCAGGAGAAGAAGGTCTGGATCTGAGGGTGTCGAGGCTGGTTCCACCGCTCGCTGGTATAGACCACCATGGCCACCACAGCAAAAATGGCTGGGGATGAAGATGAGAGAGGGCTCAGCCCCTCTGCGGGAACTCACCGGTCCCCAGAGCTCAAGTGCAGCCCGGAGCCTACCTGCAGCAAAAGCCATGATAGAGGAGGAGAGGGGCCCGTAGCCTCGAACGGACCGTGAGGGGACGTAGGACAAGATCAGGAAGATCACCGACACCAGCCCCGACAGCGCGGCCAGAATGCTGAGGCTCTGCGTGGCGCGGATGAAGCCTGCTCCGAGGTAAGACTTCAGTGCTTGCCCTTGGACAGCCCACCGCCCGCAATAGGAGACACCACTGTCCCTTACCTGGTACCTCACTGTGAGACTTCTCTGGCCAGAGCCCCGAGTGAGACGAGAAGGTGGGCCCCACGGCCACGAACCAGAAATCTGTGCTCAGAGCAATCAGGATGGTCACCAAGCCCAGGGAGCCAGTGACGAGGGCCAAGGACCGACAGAGCTCCATCGAGGTGAGTCCTGGGTGTCCAGGTCCTGCGGATGAAGGGGCCAGTGATCTGGACTCTTGGGCCCTCTGAGCTCAAGAAAGAGAAGCCTTTAAGATTTTAAAACTAGGCCGTTTGGTTTCACACAGTTCCGGGTTGACGAGTCTTGCCCTATACCCCCCCTTCCCGGTTGCCTTGACAACTTTCTCCCCCCACAGAGGTTCGGTTCCCCTCACAGCATGTGGCGGGGAGGGTGTCACATCATCAGTGGTTTGGTGGTGGTTCAGAGCTTGCCTCTGCTTTAGGTTCTATACCTCCCACCCTTGGAACCCTCAACATCAGAGGAGACTTCCTGGAAGAGGTGTGAAAGAGGCTTGGGGGCCCCAGGGTGGGAGGTGGTAGATGAGACCAGGGTGTGAGTTAAACAGGGGGATGTGGCCAAAGGGGACAGTTGGTGGTTGTGTCATGCTCTCCTGTCAGTTCTGCAACCTTCCATTCTGGAAGAGAGAGGCCCCAACTCTAGTGTGTCCACGGAAGGAGGGGGGCTGGAGACTAGGGTGCTTGCAGCTGAAGGAAAAGAGGGCTGGAGGCCTGGACTCGGGTCCTGAGCAGGAGGCGGGCAGTCCTGGATCCCTGCCTGGAGCTTATCCCAAAGGCAACCGACAGTGGAGGATCACAATCCTGCAAGTCTGTGGAGAGCAAGACATGTCCACATCGTCCTCTGATAAGAGTTCGCAGACAGCTCTGCCTTGAGCAGGGCCTCCAGTGTGGCGGGCTTCATCCCCAGGATCAGGGTGTCTCAGGGGCAGAGGTGGGCACACGGGACCGTCCCACCCTCCCAGCACTAGCCTCCTCTTCCCATCCCGGCAATAGGTCCTAGACAGAGCCTCGCCTCACCGACAAGCAGGAAGAAGGCGAAGGTGTCGCAGCCCAGGTGGAAGGTGCAGGCTCATGTGACTTCCAAATCGGGGAAATGGCCTAGAAGAAGACCTCTGTCACAAAGATGACACGAGCCAGCAGTCCTGCAGCAGCCGGTGAAGGGGAGACTCAGAGGGACTCAAGAGGCTGTGGCCTCTTCCGTTACTGGAGTCTCCAGTTTGCAGGCCCCCATCTCTCACCCAGACCCTCACCACCGAGGTAATTGGCCACTCCTGAGAATGTGCTCATGAATGCAGGCTCCCAGAAGCAGCAGGGGCACCGACGCAAAAATGGCGATATGTGTAGCTCTAGTGGAGAGCAGCGGACAGGCTTTAGGAATCCCGGCCAAGGGAGTGTCAGAGCCCAGAGGTCACCTGCAATCTCTACCCCACCCTTAACTCCACCCCTGTCCTCCAACACAACCCCCTTCTTATCCCCAGACGTAACCCCAAACTTAGCCCCATTCCTAACCTCATCTCCAACCCAAACCCAGCCCTGTCCCTAACCCAGCTCTACCCACAAATTCAACCCCGTCCTGATTCCTAAACCAAACCCTGTTTTCATTGCCAAGACCGGCTCTAAACCCAGTCCCATCCCCAACCCCAAATACAACCCACTCCTTAACCCCAGATCCAACCTCTAATTTAACCCCATCCTCCAAACTAACCTGACCTCCATCTTCTTATTCACAAACTCAGCCCCAACCCCATGTCCAAATCCAAGTTCAGCCCCAAACTCAAACCCATCCTCATTCCGAGACTTAATGCTAACCTCGTTTGGAACTTCACGCCAGATAACACTTCCAGCGCCACCCCCACCTTCCTCCCACTCTGTCCCACCCTCTATAATTCCGACCTCAACCCTACTCATATTCATCTCAATCCCACCTGTTTCATCCCCCACCCCACACACACACTGTAGAGAATGGACTATGGAGGCAGGCGGGGGGTGGGGGACAGGAGGAGGGGCAGAGCTGGTTAGGAGGCTGAGGCCATAAGCCAGGTAAGACAAGATGTGAGTCCTAACTGGGTGAGCAAGAAACCTGGACACAGTTTTAAGGTAGAGCCAATGCCGCTTGCTGGTGAATCAGATGTGGGACGCAGCAAAGCAGCTGCTGCTGATCCCAGGACTCTTGGCAGGGGCAGCTGGATAACCATGGGGCAAGATGGGGAGATATGGGAGGAGTTGGTGTGGGATGTGGGAGAGACCAGGACATCTGAGATTTGAGATGCCTCTTCTTTTCAAGTGGACACTGGAGATGACTCTGGAATTACCACATCATTATTATTGCTAGAATAAACTCCTATAAATATGATTCCTGGACTAAGCCTCAATAAATATGTCTCCTTAAGTAGGCCTCAATAAATTACCATTAGAGAAGGCCTCAATTGCCATTATTAGTAGAGGAAGCCTCTATAAATACAGAACTATTGTTATTTGTGAAGTCCCCAATAAACATTTCTAGGGAGTAGGTCTCTGTTAATATGACAGTTTTAGCATAGGCTGTAATTAATATTCTTATTATTAGAATGGGCCTTGCTAAATAGTCTTATTAATTTATGGTGGATATTAGTAAATCTCCTAGCAGTTGGGCACAGTTTAGTGAATGAAGTAATGAGTGAGTGAATGAGAAGGTCAAGGTCATGAACGGTATGTGAAGAGTCAGGACAGGGTGTGGATCAGGGTATGGTGAGGGTCTGGTGCTTCTAGGTGTGGGGCCCATCCGGGGAGGGGAGGGGCGGTTAGGAATGCTGACTGGAGACAGTGTGAGCAGACAGGTGGTTTTTTCACAGACCTTTTTGTTTATCGTATTATCCCACTGATATTATGATTCATAAGAAACACATATTTGTTCTTTGTACTGTTCCTGGCATGAAGCTGCTGAAAGCCTTGGAATTTCATAGGTGATGAGGGCCTTGAAGGTGTATTTGCTACATTAATGGTTAATGAGGCGACTGGGGGCAGGGGGGTGGTGGCAAAGCACTGGAGGGTAAGGGCAGGTTGCTGGGGGAACCAGCCAAGTGTCTGGAGGGTTGGAACTTTCAGTCCCAGCCCCCAACTTGGGTAGGGAGGGGCTGAAGACTGAGTAATCACCAGTGGCCAATGGTGCACTCAGGATGCCTGTGTAATGAAGCCACCATGAAAACCCAAAAAGACTGGGTTCAGAGAACTTCCAAATTGGTGAATGTGTGCATAATAGAGAGAGTGGCCCCCTGAAAAAGGCACAGAAGCCCCTTGCCCCTTTCCTATACCTTGCCCTGTGGGTCCCTTCCATCTGGCTGCTCCTGAGTTATATCCTTTTATAGTAAACGGGTGATCTAGTAAGTGGAATCTTCCTTCGAGTTCTGTGAGCCGCTCTAGCAAATTATTCAAACCCAAAGAGTGAGTCATGGAAACCTCCACGCTACTGCTGGTTGACCAGAAGCCCAGGTGACAAGCTGCACTTGTGAGGGCATCTGAGGTAGGGGTGGGGTGCAGTCTTTAGGACTGAGTCCTTCACTTGTGGGATCTGACAATACCTCCTTATAGAGAGCATAAGAATTGAGCTGCTTGGTGATGTGGAATTAAAAAAAAAAAAATCCAGAATTGGACCTACACATCTGTTTCCTAGAAGTCGTAGTTAACCCCTGGGTGGGGACTGTGTGGTTCATGTCTGTCCCCATCCCTACAGAGACTGAGCAGGTTGGCCTGCAGTCATCCAGACACCCCCACCCTGTTCACCACTCACACCTGTTTCTCATCACCCCAACCCCTCAAGGACCACACCTTAGTAGTTTCACATCAGTTTTATTAGACTCTCAAAAAGTCGCTCTAATGGGGATCCCATTTCTCTAACACCCCCCCTTCATGGGCTGGGCCTTGGGTCTTCTCAACTGCCTCCCCACCAGGCCCCATTCTTCCTCCTTCCCCCTCAGGACACAGGAGTCAGAGGCCTCCGCCCAGAGTCCACAATTGAGCCCCCTCCTGCCCACAGGAACCAGGACTTCAGGCCTCTAGACCCTCCCCCTCCTTTTCTGTGGCCCCATTTAACCTCCAGATGAAGTTGGGGGTACATTGGGCTCAGCGGGGAGCAGACAGGCGCCGACATTCATGCATCCGGTAGGCACACATGTAGAAAATCCCTGCGTGAGAAGAGATCCCATTTGGCTCCCCCAAATCCTCCTAACCTGGGCTCCCAGCCCAAGACCCCAAAACAGCACTCCCTTTCTCCCTGGGTGTCTGTAGCATCTCGATTCTGTCTCCTGGCTCAGTGCTGGGGGGCCCATGTGGGACACCCCATCATCTAGCCCTCTGAAGTGCTGCCCACTCTGCCACAGACACTGACCTTCCCACCCCCAAACCCTCATACCTGCGAAGAAGGCCATGAGCAAGGCCACCCAGCCCAGGATGTAAGACCAGGAAAAGCGCCAGTCCCCAAATCGGCGACCAAGGAAGCTGACAGTGACTCCAGTGTAAATGACCAAGGCCAACAGGACAAAAAAGGCTGGGAGAGAGGATGGGGGGAGGTGGGTGGGAAAAGGGGTAGGGGTGGGGTTTGCAGATGGGGTGGGAGTTAGATTGAGGAAGGGGAAAGGCTGGGGAGGGGTGGGAAGGGAAAAGGGGGAGGGTGCCCGGGGAGTAGGGTTGGGGTGGGGATGGGACGGGGCTGTGCTGTGTAATAAAGAATTTGACCGGGGCTGGTTTTGGGGTCTGGTTCCTGGGACGGAGATGCTAAATCCCTGGAATTTCCCAAGTGATAGGAGCGTTTTTGTTACTGTTGAGCCTCTTGGGTTTTTGTTGATGAGCTGAGATGACAATAGGTAGGACCTGGTCCACAGAAGGACCAGCCACAGGAACAGAGCAGCCACCAGAGGCTGTGAGCCACTTGGTATCGGACCACCTTCTGGGGAAGGAAGCTAGAGACTAAGTTCAGGCACAGGGTCAACGACACAATAGGGCCTTGGTAATGAAACTCCAGCAGGAACTCCAGATGCCCAAGTGTGCCAGAGTTTCCTGGCTGGTGAGGCACTCCGTGGGACACCGTGGGGGAAGGGTGCAGAAGCTCAGCCTTCAAGACCCTCTCAGGCTTCACCCCGTGCTTCTCTCAATTTAGCTGGTGCTGAGGTGTAGCCTTTATAATAAATCTGTAATTATAAGTGTAGTGCTTTCTGGAGTTTGGTGACTTCTGGCAAATCTTTGAACGTGACTGGGTTCTGGGGACCCCCGAACCCGCAGCCAGTGGGTCAAAAGTGCAGATGACCTGAGGACCCCTCTTGCAACTGAAGTAGGGGCAGCCTTGTTAGGAATCGCACCCTTAAAACTGGCGGGGGTGGGGGCAGGGGAGAGGTTAGTGCCCGCACCGGGCCACCGGACAGCAACTGATACGAGAGGCTGGCATTAGGCTTTAGAACCAGTCTTGGAGTTGGGGTTGGGGTTGGGGTTGGGGGAGACTAGGTTGGCCATGGAACTGAGAATGAGGAATGGGGCTGGGGATGGAAATGGACAGGGAAGCTGGGGGTGGGAGTGGGGAGATGGGGAAGCTGGGTCCACTCACTGGAGGCGAAAAACATGATGCCGGCAGAGAAGGGCCGGGAGAGGCGGGTGAAGGTGGGTTGCTGAGCGAAGGCCAGGATGCCCATGATGATGCCCGAGGTGGCGCACAGGGAGGACAGGATCATGAAGGCCCGGGTAGCATTCCAATAAGCTGTGGTAGCACCGATCGGTCACTCCCGCACCTCCCCCCGCCCAGGAGGCCTCCCTCTCCGTCCCTGACCCAGCTCCTCCTTCACCTCTGCAAACAGTCACTCTCTTCACCTGGCAAAATCCTAATCATCTTCCACAGCCCAGCTCCCAAATCCCCTCTTGGAAGGACCCTTTCACCCCTCAGGTATCATCCTAACCCCCCCCCCCCCCGCTCCTGTCTGTGGCTCTTGGGGCTGTGGCTCTTGGCTCGTTCCCCCTTCCAGTCCGATTGCTCCCTGAGGCTAGGATTCTACCTCAGGAATACTCCCAGCACAAGACTGGTTTGCAAATGGGCCTGGAGAAATATTCGTCGGATGGATGGATGGATGAATGAGTAATGAATCCGTGTTGATTCCCCGCTATCTGCCTGCCGCTGACTTCCTGTCCTCTCTCCCATCGCTCGCTTTCATTTCCCGGATAACCACTTGCCCATACTTGAAAATGACCTATTTATTTATTTTTAACTTGTTTATATCTGTCTTTCCCTGCTGATCGCCCAGTTCTCTGAGGACAAAGGTCTTGCTTCCTCATTCACTTCCTCATGCACGGGTGCCTGGCACATAGTGGGGGCTCAGGGCACGTGCTGAGTGAATGAACGTGGAGCCCGGAGAATCATTTGTCTCTTGTGCTTGGCACTGAGCTGACCCTTTAGGACATGCTCTGGGAATAATCGTTATGATTTCATCCTCCGTTTAGCAGCTACCAAATACGTGTCAGACACGCATTCCTTGAATGAGCCTGTTCATTCCTTCCAAGAGCCCTATGCTGTACGTACTATTTTTAATCCCCGTTTTTCAGGTGAAGAAACTAAAGCTCAGAGAGGTAAAGTGACTTATCCAGGGTGCCCTAATTGGCAGTGGGACTGGCGTTGACGCCCAAGCATCAAAGCCCTTGTTCTGATCTGCTTGGCCATACTGGCTCTTGGAGGAGTCAGGATACCTGTGACCCTGGGACAGAGCCTGGATCCTGCCCCCGAAAAACAAAAAGTCTGGATCTTTGCAAAATGCATTCTTTTGCCTCATGTAAATGTCAGTGAGAAAAAAAATTGCTGGCTGTTTCTCTGTGGATGTTGTCATGGGTTGAACCGTGTCTCTCCCCGCAACCCCCAAACCCCCAAATTCATATGTGGAAGGAAGCTGCAATCCCCAGAGTAGGACCTTATTTGGAAATAGGCTCATTGCCAATGTATTTAAGGTCTCACTGTAGCAGAGTGGATTCCTAATCCTAACTGACAAGAATCCTCACAAAATGGGGAAAGCTGGAGAAAGACAGACATGCGGGAGGGTGGGGAGCACCATGTGAAAATGAGACAGAGATCAGGATGACACACTGACATGCTAATAAGTGCCAAAGAATGCCGGACAGCCTCTGCCAGAAGCCGGTAGAGAGAGGCAGGCAACAGATCCTCCCTCATGGCCTCGGAAGGAACCAACTCTGCTGACCTCAGTTATCAGACCTCCAGCCTCCAGAGCTGTGAGATGGTACGTTTCTGTTGTTTGAGTCACTCAGTCCATGGTCCTTTGTCACGGCAGCCCCAGGAAACTACGGAGGTCTCTGGGTATTTAAAAGGCTGGAAGCCTTACGGGACATGTTTTTGCCTACGTCCTCCCCGTGGTCCCGCTGAGGTAGGAGTACAAAATGCAAACGTCTCTGAGGCTTGTCTCCAGCTGCAAAAAGAGCTTATTTGTCCCCCAGCAGGCTGAGGTGGGGGCTGCGGCGAACAGGGCACGTGTGTCCCATGCCAGGTGACCCATTACTGCCTCTGAGCTCCATCTTCAGAGAAAACTCTCCCTGTTCAAGTCACGGTGTGCCACCTGTCTCCTGAGGGCCCCTGACTGGTAGGTAGACCGCCTTCAAAGGAGGCAAAACTGGATTTTTCAAAGACAGCCGCAAGTCCAGATCTTTCTGGCGACATCAGAAACTTTATAAAACACTATACACACACGTGTCTGTGGCTGGAGTTGGCCCCGGCGAGTTCACGTATGCCTGCTCTGGGTCTGGTGAGCCAGTTACAGTTGACCTGCACCGGGAGCCAGCTGTGTGGACAGATACCCAGCAATCTATCAGGGTGAGGATTTTGGCTTCAAGGTCAAATGGACTTGCAGACCTGCATCCCGCCTTCCTCTCCCCCATCCCCAACAGAGAGAAGATAGATTGGGATGTGGGTGTCCTCGGGGCATTCCCAGGCTGAAGCGGGAGAAATGGTGGAAGTGTGACGAATGAGACCTCTGGGAATGAAAGGGATGCATGAAGTCAGGAGGCCGACCGAACCCAGGAGCTGGCGGCTGGGGTAGGTCTTTCCACTGCCTCCTGCCTCGGTTTACCCCTCCTGCACACGGGCATCCTGTTTCCTCTCCCAGACAGGTTCAGTGAGATGGGGCGGTTGAAATCTGCCCTAAGGGCTCTGGAGGATTGGCTCCTCCTCCAAAACCCCCTGGAAAGAATGTTTGGCTTTTTGAGGGCAAGGCTCATGTTTTTTTGTTTTTTGTTTTTTGTTTTAAGATTTTATTCATTTATTTGACAGAGACAGAGACAGCGAGAGAGGGAACACAAGTACGGGGAGTGGGAGAGGGAGAAGCAGGCTTCCCACTGAGCAGGGAGCCCAATGCGGGGCTCCATTCCAGGATCCTGGGATCATGACCTGAGCGGAAGGCAGACGCTCAAGGACAGAGCCCCCCAGGCGCCCCGAGTCTCTTGTTTTATACACACACACAGTGGTACCACCCTCAGTGTTGTTGGGAGACCAAAGGGCATTAATCCACGTCAAGCACTTAGAATAGCATGTAGGACTCAATGACTTTCAATTAATGCCAGTCATCATCATTATTATTATTATTACTACTACTATTTGGTACATAGAAAATATGTGACATTATATATTCTTAATTTATTAATATATAATACACCTTATATATTCTTTATTATTATATAATGTATATTGTGTATTAATTTATTACTATATAGTGCATATTATATATTATGTAATACAAAATATATGTATCTCTCCATATATATGATGTATGTACATATGTATATGTATATGCATATGGAGAGCGATACATAGAGATATAGAGTATATTATATATTATCTTATATATATGTTATTATAATGTAGCTTGCAAGAACTGTATGTTGGAAGAGCTATTTTTCCCCATTTTTACAACATATAATGTGCACATACACACACATATATATATAGACATACAGACATATATATATATATTACAAAGCCTGGTGCACAGTAGCTATTAAAAACTACCAACCGGTTTAAAAAAAAAAAAAAAACTACCAACCGGTATTTAGCAAATTTAGGGTCCGTATTGCTTCTGTATCCCACAGTATGCAACCCGGTTCCTGATACATTGTGGATATTTAGGAAACGCTATTCTGACAGCCCCGGTCCCCGCGGCTGCTCCACCGAGTCCGTGCCCGGAAATGTCACCTACTTAACCTCTAGTACATTTCATAATTGCACCAGAAAAAATTCCTGAAATCCCAGTTCTGTCCCTTTTGTGCTAAGCAATCTCTGGCTGGTCCCTTTCCCTCTCTGAGCCACAGAGTTCCCCACCGGCCAAACAGGTGGCGAGGGTGTGCCCCGAGGTGGGGCTCTGAGCCCAGCCCCAGCCCAGCCCCTGTCCCGGAGCCTTACCGATGCTCTCTGTCTGCAGGTAGCACTTGTTCCCCAGGCAATATCGCCACAGGCCCTGGTGGGCGAAGGACCCCGACAGCCGGTACTGCATCCAGTGGTCTGTGGCTGTGGCCACCACCAGGAGGATGGTCCCCACCCAGGCACAGAAGAGGCCGCCACCCATGAAGCTGTACATGGTGATCTGTGGAGACAGGGAGAGGTGGGGTCAGGAGCTGGACTCCCGGTAGAGGGAGGAGGAGTTGGGGACCTAGACTCCCGGATCCCAGATGAGGAGGTGGCTAATGGCTGGGACACCAGGTCCCTGGGAGAGGAAGGAGCTGGGGGCCTGGGCCCCTGGCTCCTGGGTGGGGAGGAGGCTGGAGGCCTGGGCTCTTGGGTCCTAAGTGAGGAGGGAGCTAGGGGCTGGGACACCAGCAGGCCCCTGGGGGAGGAAGGAGCTAGAGCATGAACCCCTAGGTCTTGGTGGAGGAGGGAGCCTAGAGGTCCAATGCCTGGTCCTTACCTGAGTGGCAGAGCCTATCACAAGCCCTCTGTCTGCCTCGGGCCTTCTGTGCAGACTGAGCCAAGCCAGGTTGCTGGCCTCTCTGCTCCCTGGGTCCCCCAAATCCCTTAAGCCTCCCCACACAATGGCCCTGTGACCCAGCAGCTTCCAGCAGGCAGAAGTGCAGTGGTGGCAGAGGCCCCAAATGGAATTCGCTGAAACAGGGATCCAGGCGCTCCCTCCCCGCAGCCCCTGGCCCCACTGGCCTCTCTCTGTGACCCTCCCAATGACCCCACCACCCTTTCACAGGCCTTGCTCACAGCACCCACTGGGTTAGCCTGAGCTGCGTAAGCACACACAGAGACACAAGATATAGGGGCAGCCATCCATTTATTGTTCAACCAGGGGTGAGGGAGGCAGGGCAGCAGGTGTCTGGGTATGTTGGGCCAATGTTCTTTGCAGGTGGGTCACAGGGCATGTCACAATTGGGGCTGGGACCAGAAGAAGGATGGGACGGGGTTGGCTGGGGTCAAAGATGGGCTGGGTTTGGGGTCAAGTTTAGGAGGCAGTTAAGGATGAGGACTGGGTTGGCCTGAGGTAGTAGAGAAGGAGGGTGCAGAGCTGGGACTGAGGGTGGAGATGGGGATGGAAATGGGAATGAGTGGGGTTGGGGATATGGTGTTGAGAGTGGGGATGGGACTGGGGTTACAGAGGCGGGGGGGATGGGGTTGGGGCTGTCACTGTAGTTGGGGTGGTGCTGGGAATGGGGAGAGGCATGGCTTTGGGTGGAGATGAGGCTCAGGGCTTTTGCTGGTGTGGGATCCCAAGTCAGCTCCAGTTTTCATGGGGTGACTCACAAGACCCACTCCTGAGGCTGTGGTTTTGGGAGAAGAAACATGGGAGGATGGTGTTTCTTGGGGGTATTTCTGCCATAGCTGAGGTCACCCTGGGCTCCAGGAAAACCCTCCTGGTGACCCTGGGGGGCCCTCTCAGGAGTCTGGGGAGCCGGACTTTCGGGGTCCTAGTACTCTGCCTCCCAGTCTTCTGCTGCAGCAGGCGGTGTGTCCTGGGGTGGCTCCTGACCTCGGGCTTCCTTCTTCCCATCCCGACCAGGCAGAGTTGGTGGTGATGTTGACATCGCCAGTGGAGTCTTGGGGCCAGCCCCAGACCCCCGCGGCCAGCCCCTCTCAGCCCTTCCAGGTTGCCATCGCTGCTGGACCTGGCCCCGGCCTGGCCTGCGCTGGACGCCCCAGCCCCTGCGTCCCCTGGGTGGCCTTGTGGCCATGCCTGGCTGGGTATAGCCTGCCTGGGGGTTACAGGGGCAGGAGGGCAAGCACTGTTGAAGGGTGTAGGCCCCCAGCAGGGCGCTGTGCAGGAGGTAGGAGAGGGCATCCAGACGGATGGGGACGGTGACAGAGGCCAAACTCTCAGGGAGCCCCAGGTGGACTGGATCTGGGGTGCCCAGGGGGAAAGGTGGCAAGGCTGGGAAAGGTGCAGGGGGGCACGGCTCAGTCCCGGGTGATGGCGGGGACAGGTTGTTCCTGGAACGACAAGAGTACAGGTCAGTAGTTCTCACCATCTCTCTCCAGCCTTCCTACTGTGGTCCAGCCCTTCTCCTGGGAGCCCATTCAGCTCAGCGTCCACCTCTGATTCCCGTGCCTGCTTCTCTCTATCTCTCTCTCTCTTTCGCTCAGTCTCTCAATCTTTCTCTCATCTGTTTTTTCCATCTCTCTTTACAGAGAGACAGACAGCTCAGCCAGGACGTCAGAATCCAACAGAATAAAATTCCAGCTGCAGGCTGCCGAGCTCAAGGTGTGTTTCCAGGCCAATCACTTCCCTGTGCTGAACCTTCATTTTTCACATCCAAAGATGGCTTTTGGTGGTACCAGAGGTGCATAGGCAAGGCCTAGGTCTGAAAATTATTATTTATCCAGCTCTATGGCTGTTACTGACATCTCTGATTCTCCTGGCTCCTTCTTTAAATTTCTCCCTGTTCCTCCAATATCTGTTTCTAGCTGTGTCCCTATTTCTAAGTATCTTGTTCAGCTCTGTCAGTAAGATCGCTAAGACTCTGTTTCTAACTGATGATACGTGAGCCTTTTTGTTGTTGTTCTGATACTCTTTGGGTCAGTCCACTCTGCCTCTGATTTTCTCCGCCCCTTCCCTCGCTGGCCTCTGTCCTCCCCATGAGGAGGGTCTTGCGTCTCTCACCCTTCAGGCCCAGTCCCTTTCTCTTGCTGTTCCATCTTTACAAGGGTGTCTCAAGTCTCTTCTAGCACCTTCGTCACGATTTCTCCAGGGCCCAGGGAGGCGCGGAGGGGTCCGGAAGAAAGTGCCCGGGACTTTGTCCGAAGTGGGGCGTGGCCGGCGGAACGTGAGGAGCCCTGGGCAAGTACGCTGGGGTCGCAGGATCTGACTCCTCAACCCCACATATCTTAGGCTGCAGCCCCCATCCCCTGAGACCAAGATGTCTGGTCCCTGAGCGTCTTGCACGCTCAGACCTAGCAATCCGGACCCCCAGACCTCTGCTCCCTCAGACCTAGAAGTCAGGACCCCACCCCTTTCCTCTCTCTCCACCTGTATTTCTAGCCTTTCCCTCTGGGGGCCTGATGGTGTTCTTTAGGACTAAAGGGAAATCAGGGTATTCTGGATGGTCTTCAGGACAGGGGGAGAAGTAGATGTGTTGGAGTCGAGGCAGACGCTTAACTCACCGAGCCACCCAGGCGCCCCTCTCTTGGAATACCTTTGTATTCTGTTTACAGAATTCCTATTTCTGTTTACAGAAAAGTTACAAAGTTAATACAGAGAGTTCTCATACACTCCTCACCCAACTTCCCCCAACGTTATCTTCTTACATGGTTGCGGAAACTTTGTTGCAACTAAGAAACTAACATGACTATTAGCCAAATCCAGACTTTATTTGAAATTTACCAGTTTTCATTCTAAGGTCATCTATTTTCTGTTCCAGAAGCTGATGCAGGTTGCCATTTATCACCCAATCTCCTTTGTCTCCTCTGTTCGGCTGCAGCCTCTCAGTCTTTCCTGACTTTTTACAACCTTAACAATTTTGAGGAATGTTACTTATTTTATAAAGTAGAGGTCCATTTTAATTAATAATTCTAATTTCTTTTTTTGAGAATTCTAATTTATTTAATCCTCCCTTCACAGATGATCAGACTGTGCCTCAGAGAGTCTAAGTAAGTTTCTCAAGGTCAGAGAGCTAGGAAGTGGCAAAAGTGAAATTTGAACCTCAATTTTGCGCTCTTAATGGGGACTCAAGTAGGAGCCAGATTATGTAGGACATAATAGGCTGCAGTGAAGACTTTGGGGTTTGGGAGTATTGGGGTTTTTTTTTTTTTCTTTTTCTTTTTCTTTTTATTTTTTTTTTCATTTTAGAACACAGATGGCTTCAAACACTTGTAAGCTAAGGTGTGACATACTTTGACTTATGTTTGAGGAAAAGCACTGTGTCAGCAGTTTGGAGAACAGGCTCTGGTGGAAAGCAAGGGAGCATGCTGGTATCCTTCAGGCCAGGAGTGGTGGTGACCCCAAGCAGGGGTGGGTAGGGGAGTGGGGATGGGAAGATATGAATGGATTTAGGATGTTTTTTGGAAGAACCATCAGAATTTGCTGCAGGGCTCCTGGGGGTGATTAATGAGGAATCAAGGATGATGCAAAGTCCCTGATGCCTGAGTGGCTCAGTTGGTTAAGCATCTGCCTCTGGCTCAGATGTTAAACCCAGGGTCCTGGGACTGAGTCCCACATGGGGCTCCTTGCTCAGCGTGGAGACTGCTTCTCCTCTGCCTGCAGCCCCCCCGCTCATGCTCTCTCTCTCTGCCAAATAAATAAATATATTTTTTAAAAGGATAATGCAGAGTTTTTGGCCAGAGCAGTGTCTTTGAACATGATTTTTTTTTTTTTTAACAGAACTTCACAACATCCCTCTTTAAGGATGGGAAAGCCCAGATTCCCACGACCTTCCATTTACTGAGTTCTCTGGAATCCACGACCTGTGCTGGGTGACGCTGGTGACTCAGAGATGTCACCTGCCTTCTAAGGAGTCTGTCTTGAGAGGTGGGGGTCGGACACAGAGATGTAGGGTAACATTCCCAGGTGATGAGAGCTTGCAAATAGGAACAGGAGGCGAGCAATGAGTGATGCTCCTGAGGGTAAAGGGTTGAGGTTGGGGGCCAGGAAAACATTGCTGCGCAGGCGGGGGGCTTCTTTGGGGGTTTTGTTGTTTTGTTTTTAGGAAAGGTGGCCTTTGGTCTAGGTCTAGAGTGAGTGGGTATTTGATGTAGAAGAAATGGTGTGAGCAAAGGCCAGGTGGCTGGGATTGAAAGGTTTTTGTTGTTGTTGTTGTTGTTTAAGATTTTATTTCTTTGTCGGACAAAGAGAGCACCAGCAGGCAGAGAGGCAGGCAGAGGGAAAGGGAGAAGCAGGCTCCCGGCTGAGTAGAAAGCCCCACGCCGGGATCGATCCCACGACCCTGAGATCATGACCTGAGCTGAAGGAAGACGCTTAACCGACTGAGCGACCCAGGCGTCCCTGGAATGGGAAGATTTTTATCACAAAGCAGGGGCTTTCCTTTCCGGGCGAGTGTGATTAAGCTTCGGGTCTCATCCATCCTTTCCGTTCTATCCCGAAGAGGCAGGACTATTTTGTTCAGACGGGTCTCCAAAATGGGGGTCGAATCCCCGCTCCGCCACCGACGAGCGCGGGACCTCAGGCAAGCTGCTTTTCGAGTTCCCGCTTCGCCACTTGGCGCTTCCTGCTCGACTGCCGCAGAACGGAACTGCTTCCCGTTCTGCTCTGTTTTCTCCTACTTCTCTCGTCAGGGTCCGATCGTCAATTTACCGTAGGACCCGGCGCTTTAAGGCCCTCCGCCCGCACTAGAGAGCGGAGACGGGCTCCTGCGTCTCCAAGGGAAGGTCCTTTATGCGTCTTCCAAACTGGACAGGCACCTTCTGAACGCAACCAATCAACCCCTGAGTCGCGCGCAGCGAAACTTCCGATTCGCTGGGGAACGCAGCCGGCTCTACGTTGGAGCTCCGCCCACTCCGTGTTACGTAACGCAGCGCAAGATAGTCATCCTTGGCTCCGATTGGCGAGTGAGCTCGCGCTGCTTTCGAGTCCCCGCCCCGCTGCCGTCATATCGGCGAGCCAGGCCTCTCGCTCTTTGATTGGGTGTATTTCTGAGCGCTCACTCGCTCTCGCTCTGTGATTGGTTATGGTCTCTCCGGCCCTTCTCCGGGCCTTCTTGCTCCTGCGTCCTGCGTCGTCGGACGTCATTGTCACTGTTGTGTGGCGTCCGCAGCGTGCTGGAGTGGGGGGTTGGGGGTGGTGGTGGTGGAGATCCTCCCCAGGCCTGGAGATGCCGAGTGAAACTTGGAGGGGGGGATCCTAGCCAGGGGTCTTCTTGGCCCACGAGGGAGCCCACTGCCTCATCCCCACCCCACCTTAGGATCCCCTTCCTTTCACGTCCTCCACGGGCCTCGGGCAAAGTCCCAAGACTGGACCTTCAGGGCCTCCATTCATTCCCTTAAGTCCCCGCTTCCATCCCCTCCAGGGGACCCTGGGATGCCCTTGGGGTCCCTGCTCTCCCTTGAGCCTTACCTGCTCTTTCAACCCATCCAACTTGGGGGCCCTCGGGAGTGCAGGGTAGGCGTCAGGGCCTCTCGGTCTTGGGGGCTCCTCCCACTGCCGCCCCTACCCTTACATCCTCCCTCTCCCCCGAGTCCTCCCCCCACCTCCCTTCCTTACCCCTCTTAGAGACTCTCCCCACCTCAGGGGGCTCTGGCCTCACTGCGTTCCTCCCAGCCCAGGAGTCACCAGACTTTGACCCAAGAGTTACACCTTCTTCCTAACGAAATCCTGCAGACTGAGGAGTGGTTCCCAGCCCACAAGTTCAGGATTCCCCGGCTTGTTTATGCCTCCCCTCCCCCAACTTCTAGGCCCTTCAGAAAGGAGATGGGACCTCCCCACCCTCAGGAGTCCAGCCTCCTCTCCTTCTAGCCCCTTTCCCCTTCCCAGCCCACCATCCCTTTGGGAAGTCCTTGAGCCCTGTAAGGGGGGGGACAGCCATTCTGAAGGCCCCCACTCCTTCAGGAGATCCAGGTGTCCTTCATATCCAGGGGGAGAGGGTCTCCAGGGACATGTCTGCCTTCAGACCTGTATTTCTTCCCCTTCTTATTCCTTAGGGCCCAGCCCCTCACTACCATTCTCCCCTCCCCCAACCCCATCTTTCCAGGTGTTTTATTGACACTTCTGAAATTCAGGAGGTCATCTGTAGGACACCCTCACACTTTCATATACCCACTCCCCCAACCCGAGGGTCTTCTCTGCCAGCTCCTCTGCTGGGTTCCCTCCCTTAGACATCCCACTGTCTCCCTAGGACTTCTGTCCTCACTGCTAGCTCCCTCACACTCAGGATGCCCCAGGGTATCTTTCACATAAAGGGGGTCATTCCTGCCCTGCGAACTTCCCTCTTTCTTGAGGCCTCCCCTCTCACAGCCCTCTCCCTGCACTGTCAAGAGGTCTGTAAAATTCAGGGTCTCTCCCTTCTTTGGAATCGCCCCTTCCCCTTTGCCATACATTTGGGACAATCCTTTCCATTGTCATCTTTTTTCAGGGTTACCTGCATTCAGGGGGGGTCACCTGGGGAGTTCCCCCACATTTGGAGAACTCCCACACAGCACTCCCCAACTCAGTGACAGTCCCCTCAGCCCTCAGAGCAGAACCTTCTTGGTTCAGAGAGTGATTCTCAGGGCCTCCCTTAGCTGCAGCGGTTTCCCCTCTCCTGGGCTTCCTCTTACACTCCCAGAAGACCCAGCATCTTCCCCCCATTCTTCCAACTGTCTCCCACAGTCACTGTCCTAAGACCCCTCTTTCCTTGGTTTCCCTATCATCTCGCTCACTTTTAGCATCCCTGAGTCATCTTCAGCATCCAGGCCATCAATCCCAGGACCTCCTATACCTCCCACCTCATCAGCATAACCTCCTGCACTCTGCCCTTCCCCCCCACACCTGGGCCTGCCTGCTCTTGCCCTCACACCTCCCCTAGAATTAACCTTGGGGCACTCCCAAGGATCTTCTCCTCACACTAATCACAGATTCTCGACCTTCTCACTCCTTCCCAGCCTTGTCCAGACTCTAATTCACACTCCAGGTGTCCAGTACCTTTGTCTCATACATGGGAAGGGCTTTCCTGCCGGCTTTCGTGGGGAAGTGGAGGATCCAGGTTACT